TTTCATTTCGCGTCTAAAAATTGTCAGTCACTCCAGCCCCACCCGCACCCCCAACCCTTCCCCACTACCTCGCCCAAAGTCCGTATGGATGAACAGGCGTACGGTCACGTGATTACCAAAATTTCTCGGATCGATAGATTACCAAATTTTCCTCAGTATGGGGCTTCGCGTACGCGTGAAGCTCCGCTATTTTCAACACAATGCAGTTTTGCAAAAACAAAAAAATTACCAAAGCAATATCCTTATCCTAGTACCACCACACAACTTTGTCCATAAAAAAGTTTTCAGGTAAAACTCAGAGTCAGGAAACTGGGAACTCCAAAATTATTTCAGGAATGTTATAGTGTTTAAAGGAAACAACTCTATATCTGGCGTTTGTGGATTGCTCTCGTGCCCTAATCTTTGGTGTGATTGCTAACGAAATGCTTCAGGTGTTCACGGTTTTCTGTAGTCTCCTACGCAGCGGTTGTTTGTCTCGTCACGCAACGCTTGTGGCATTAGCCCTGAAGCTGCGTGACACGGTTACCTTTATTGACCAATAGCTCTTGTAAATCTTGCATTTAAAGGAAATGACCTTTGGTAAGGTGCTTGAATCGTTCAAATCAAGACTCCAAAGTGCAAAAGAAGATCAAGAATTATACCTTATTGACAAGAAATCAGGTAAGCCAATGCACATTTAGTGACTCCAATCACCAACGCTACACCCTTTCCTCCTTTGGTGATGGAAGGGGGAGGTGGTGGATGGCAGGCCAATTTTGTAGTGAAAGTAAAGTGGAATTTTCTAATGGGCGGGGGTGGGGAGTTACGAAATTCACAACAATATATCTCTTCTTCGGGGTAAATTGACTGATTAAGACTTTTACTAGAGACGGTAGAAACCTACAGAAGTTTAAACCTCTCTTACTCCGTAAAGGAATCATATTTTAGGCAAGCAAACGGGGAGCTGCGTTGTTTATTTGCAAAAAGAGAACACTTTTAAAGATGCCGAATTGGCGTCTCGAATGTTTATAGCTTAAAATGTGCTTTTTGTGTTTTACCTCTTTTTATTTAACCCAGTGGATTATTTTGCAATTCAGAATAAATTGAAACAATTTTTTGTGGCATTGCAGACCAGATACTTGAAGAGAGATACCACGTTAGAGATGTGTACACTCAGCGTAAAGGGTTTCCTAGCCCCCTGCTGTTACTAGAATTCCTGGATCAAGAATTTGCGTTTAACAAGAGACAGGCACAGGTATGCCAATAAGTATTTCTAAGGACAAGCACAGGTATATCAATAAGCATTGCTAGAGGCAAGCACAGGTATATCAGTGATAGGTTTTACACGAGACAATAACAGCTCTATCAATAAGTTTAACAAGAGTTAGGCAAAGGTAAACTAATAGGTTTTAAAAGGGACTGGCAAAACAGTATATACAAGTAAGTCTAGCAAGAGACAAATAAGATAAACTAGAGATAATCAAAGGCATACCAATTCGGTTGTTTTCCAGTGGCATAAACTTATCTCGTTCAGTTGCTTGCCAAAGAGCGCCGTTTACTAGGTTTACATAGAATTTCTAGGGGTACCCTCCCTTAATTCCGCGGCAGACATAAGAGTTTCATCATGCACAGACTCAAAAGTTCTAAAGCATAATAAACAGTACCACAAGAAAGCAGTGCTCAGTAACTCTCATTTGAATTTCACTCTTTAGGATTTCATCCTCAGTCTCAAAAGTTAGAGCCAACTTGTACAACATACCAAGCGGTACCACTGTAAATGTTGTTTCTCTCAGAAGATTATACCTACGAAATCAAACTTAAAAACCGCAGATATAGTACACCGTAATCCAAGATATGTCATATGCAAACATCAAGTTCCAACAATAACTTGTGGGAAGTAGGAAGAGTCAATTCGAAAAGTCGTTAAAAATTTACCTAAACTAACCACAATATCGTGTGGTCTTTGCTTCTAGGCCTTCACAGCCAAGATAGCTGAGATTGGTCGAGTTCTGCTGACGTCATCAATGCTAAACGCTTTGCCTAATCAGGTAATATTTTGCCGACGATATTTGCTTCCAAATTTGAAGCCAGTTTTGTTTCCAGGACTCTTACTCTGCCAGGCTGTTGTTGGGGAGACTGAAGGGTTAAGATTGATTAAAACAGTGATGAGGCAAGCGAATTTGGGTTAGTCTATCTCGTACTCAACGTAGTTCTTGTAGAGTCCAATATTATAAATACCTATTGTTTTTCTCACGATTTAGTAGGAGATCAAAATGCACTAGCCACGGCAGACCATTGTGATACAAAAGCGCATTGCGTAATCAGTTGACCTCGTCGCCTGAAGAGCGGAAACTTGTACCTGCCATGATAAATGGCCAAAACAATTCCAGTACATGACTACCCATTGTTGATCTGTTATCGGTATCTCAATTTACTTCTAGTAATGGTTGTATCCCTTTTTCCTTTCTAAAGTTTCTGATGGTTTTAAATCTGGATTCCACTTTTCTTTTATATTTTTGTTCAGAAACACATTTCGTTTCTTCATGGAGAGTTCAGTCGCCAGATTTCATTTCCTCGTAAAGCTCTTGACTGCGATTTCTCTTTGTACGCTGGAGGTTCAAAGGGCCGGGTAAGTAAAACTGTATACTTTTCACATCAGTAGCTACCTTTTTTGACTTTTTGCAAGAGCGAAGAGCCATACTTAACACATTTTTAAAAGTTTCTTAAAATGTTTTTAAGAAAGGTTTTATTTCAATTTTATATAGCTAAATGTCTGAAAAAAAATCATTTCTTTTAATTAATTTATTAATTTATTTATCTATTTATTGTATTTATTAGTTTTGGCAACTTTTGCAGGGTAACCGCAACATAGTAAATCCAATTACTGCAGTCCCCGCCCGTAACAGGACCCCCCCTCCCCCTAATCCGGGTTCTACGTCCCATACTTCTCTAAGCTGATCAACTGTTTCCCCACCCCCCTCCCCCCTTTAAACCGTACCGGAACAGGTAGAATAGGTAGTGATTTATGATAATCTTTTATTTTCAGGAACTTGCAGCTCTTGATGTCATTCATAAAAGTGTCTGGGTTAAGGTAAGTCATTCACTTGGTTTTCGAGCTAGGATTGATTTTATACCTGTACAGTTTATAATGGTAATATGACTGTGTGGTGTCCAATACGGTCTGTAATCTTACAGTGATTAACAAACTCGGACGACCTTGTAGTGGGAGTCCGATTTGTTGTGAATCACGAGACTAGTTACAGACCGAATTGGACGACACGAATTCCGAGAAAAATTTCCGAGAAAAAACAAATCCATTCTCTTTAGGGATAGAGCTTTTTTCTTTTCTTTTTTTTCAGTTGAGCTTGCTTTAGCAGCGAGACTTTAAAAATGCAAGCGTTTCTCCTTTTTTTTGTTTTTCGTGTGTGCGCGCCAAAAGGGAAATCATTGCCCTAGGCGTTCCTAGCGGTGACCGTGGAAAAGAATATAATAATATTTTAAGAGATTGCCACTTGCACATTGAAAACTTTCCGATAAAAATCTCTCTCCAACTATAACCCCAGCCCCATCTATAAATAAGAAACTCTTAGTATTCAAACACCCTTTTCTGTTTTGGCTCAATGACCAGACCTTATTTGTTCTCTCAGAGATTTTGTGCGAAGCCTTAAAAAACTTTTGTTTTCACAAACTTTCCTCTCCATGATTGGGGATTCAGAAGCCAGTAAAAGCAAATGCTTGTGTCCAATTTTTTCATCATTTTCACACGCTTCTTGTTATCTAATCAAGATACAACATGCCTTTTTCAAATATCGTTAAGGTACGAAATCTTTAATATACATGGTGTTTTAAACTTGAAATTTTACCAACAATGTGTGGGTTCATCTACAGTTTTGTCACCCTTAATACTGATATTTCCTTCACGCTTGTCACACAAGGTTTGCCGTCTTCTTCCCTCTCAGGTAGATTAAGGCCTGGGTCCCCTAATTAATTTCACCATTTTAAAGAAATTGACTCATAACTTTGTTAAAAATCGCTCATGTTCGCTAAAAATTTGCCAAGACACGTGCCTCTACCTGTTTTACCACCTTGGTTTACAAGAAGGCAAAATGACATTCTATACTCACAAAATCCGTTACTTTTAGCGCCAAAATATATATCTCTGTTTAAGACTGATTTCCCACCACTTACTGCCATAAAAAGCTTGAAATAAAGTGCATAAACTATAGTCATTACAATAAACTGTAGGAATTCAGTCGGAATGAGGGTTAAATTCCCATCAATTTTAACAAGTACATGTTCGCGTTTACTCAGTTGACGATTAGAGCAGATTTCCCTTCTTTTACACAAATTTACAGACGAAACGGCTTAGCTTTCATTTGGTTCCGAGCGGAAAGATAAAAAGCATATCAAAATGCTCTTATATAAACTCGAAGCTTGAATAAAGATTCTCAATTTGTGGTGGGAAATTCAGAAACGCGTTTCTGCGTGATGAGCTCTCCGGCCGCCATTTTGTCTCGCGAGTATTCGGCCTCAGCAGTTGCCATGGATGGAAATCAGCCAATGACCATTCAGTAGAGCGGTTAGAAGGCGAGGGTGCCAAGTCAAAACATGGCGGATGAACGGGAGCAAGAGAAGCAATTCTTTCGTTGACTAGACACTCGCGGTTTGTCCGTGAAGCAGCGGAAAACGGTACGAAAAACGAAAGGAGACAATTCTTAAAATCAGCACATTCCTGATGGGAGTTTATATGTAACCATTTCTGCGGGTACGATGAAAGAAAATGGTTTTATAAGTGACTAGAGCTTCAAGCAAGATCGGTTTGTTCTCATAACTTTTTTGTCTGTTGTAAATAGAAAAACGCGGTATATGTCAAAATAAATTACTCTTTAGATAAAATAAGGTTTCATGTTTCAGGAATATATTATTATTTTGGGCGCAATTTTCAAATAAAATCAGCGCGCCACCCAGGCAATAAGTGAAAGACGTTCAACTCTCTCGATATATCCATCGGAAAAATCCAAATGTCCCTTATATTCAGCTGCGGATTTGCCAGGGTTGCTGTGAAAGAAAGTTTCCATAAAGCTGGAAGAGCACAGCAGGAAACTGACCCGGTTCAGAGATGGAAAAATTACTGTAACATGTTTGATGAAACAGCTCGATCTATATTCACTGTTGAGAAGACCATGTACATGAAGAAATCACGAATAATCTACAATCTATTCCGCAAAATGTCCTCCCAAAGCAGGAACGATTACCTAAAGCATTTTTCCCTTTCGAACTGGAAGGTTCTACCGGCATCACAAAAATCTCAGCATACGATGTCTAACTGTAGTGCTTGTCAAGTGCATCATTTTGATTTTCAGTCTCTGTTTCCAACTACTACAGCAGGCAAATGCAAGCCACAGACGCTAATTCGACAAGCCTTAATGGGAAGCGAAAACAAGGGCAACAAGACGATTAAGCCTACACAGAAAGCAATAAAAGCAGCGGTAAAACACATTTATTCAAAAATCGACGCTCCCTTTCAAAAAGTTTTCAAAGTTAGTTTTGCTGAAGCCCAAACTAAAGTTGCTGAGCTGGATCTACAAACAAAAAAAAGCAGAACTGAAAAGAAACGCGAACGCAGACAGAGGGCACGTCAGGAGAAGCAAAAAGTTCAGGAGGAATGGTCGAAACGTGATGCAGACACGATGCTTGCGACAAGGCAGTCCTTCAGTCAGAGGGCCAAAGAACGAAGCTCGTTGTATTTCGAGTCTTTCAAGGAAGCCGCTGCCCGGGTCGAAAAACGGAAGAGGATGGAAGATCTTGGGCAAAGAAAGCGTAAACGTCACTCTCCACAACCAAACCAGATTGAGTTTGACAAAGAAAACCTCCTGAAAGAAGTAAAAAACATGAAGGATAATGAAAAGGTGAAGAAACATACAGTTCACAGGGGATATCAATTTTCTAATGCACAATTAAAAACAATAATAATAATAAAGAGAGACGTGTAAGATACCCTATTCAGGACACATGATAAACTTTTGAAGATATTTTTTTAAAAAAACATTCAATCCTCCACATGATGCCAATGACATAATTTGTCATTGCTTTCAACAATGCACTGTGCATCGACACTGTCACACTGAATTTCTTTAATCTGGGATTCCCCTCTCAGTTAATTTGCTATCAGGGCCACTTTGACAAGGGAAACCATAAGTGCAACTTTTATCATGTCAAATACTCCAAGTTAAAAAAATAGTAAATCCTCAAAACGTTGCAACTATAGGAGCAACTGTCCCTGATAAAGTACCCTCAGTTGAAACTATTGTACAAATATTATATTATTTACCATCAAAAAAGTTCTTTTTATAAAATCAAGTCAATTTAACACCTGATTTTATATTGCATGCACCTAGATTAATTATTCAGACCTTGCAAGAAGATACGGTCTCACAGATACAAGGTTGGGCAACGTGGTGGTCAAGGAATATCTTGAGAGCCAGGGAGTCGATCTAGAACGATTTCAAGCATTACATCACAGCAAACGAAATCCAAGGCGGCAACTGATCAGAATGGCTGGAGGAGAGATAACTGTGCCTGTCCCAAGAACAAATAAAGATATTAAGGAAACTCTAAAGGTTTGTTCCAAACTCAAACACCACCACCACCAATAGTCAATAAAACACCAAAATACAAAACAATAAATTATTTGGCAAAAGCAAACAGCAATAAAACAATAAAGTTAGGTAGCTGGTTGTATAAAGTAAAGAGAAAACAAAGTAAAGAAAAACCATTGTTTTTCATGCTCATGCCTCCATAAAACTTCCTGAAACAGATTCCAACAGGGTTCTTTTCGCAACTAATCCATTTAATTCACTCAACTTGCTGAAAAGAGTACAAAGCAGAGACAACTGACAAGTGTGCTTACTGACAGCTAAGGGGTAATCCCTTTTTTTTTCAGTATTCATATTAACCACAAAAATTTCTATACCATGCTGACTATAACCAACCTTAACTTACAACTATGTGAAAGTACAATGATTTTAAAATCAATTTTAGGTGAAACTTGAAGCAGGAGAATACACCATTGGTGAGCTTGTGGTTCCAAAACAGTTCAAGAAGTTAGTCCTTACCAGCGAAGGAACATTAAAGGAGGTTGAGTTTACAGTTTCTGGAAGGAAGATACCCTTAACAGAAATAAGAAAAAGAGAACTAAACAGATGTGAGCAACTTGGAGTGGTTCGAGACCATACCAATGATGACTATGCACAAATGAGTGATAATCAGATATCTCAGCGGCTAAGAGTGCTTGGAGATGAGGGCCATCTCAGGGATACTCCAGGTCAAAGAAGAGAACGACTTATAAAATTTGAAAGAACTAGACATCTGATGATATGGGAGGATGGCTCAACAATTCTAAACCATGGCCATCTCCTGTATCTTATTCAGTGTCTTTATGATCCGGCATTTTACTATTCCTCTGCAGAAATGAGAGAAAAAGGGTACGGTGACATTGATGTCCCAGCACTGGTAGAAAGGCCTCACATATACATCCTTGGAAGGTGCACTGCAAAGGAAGTAGATCAGTTGGCCTATGTTGACACAAGGCGAGAATGTTTAGAGCAGCTACAAAACAACTTAACTACAAGGAAGGGATCACCTGTACATGATGTGATGCGTTTCTTTCACGGTGATGGACCAGAGCAGCAATTTGAAAGTGGAGAGCAAAGAGGAGGGAACAATGGCTGTAGTTCTTGTAGTGGTGATTCCCGCAGATACAGAGACCTGACATATAGCTTAAGGAACCCACATCTGTCCCTAGAAGACCGATGCAGTATAGTGCGCTCAGGACCAGCTGGAAGAAGTAGAAGAAAAGGAGGGATCAGGCCCTTTAAGGATATGACAGTGGAGGAGTTGAGAAATGAGTGTGTAGCAAGGGGATTAAAAGAGGAAAGATTGAAGAAAAATTTACAGACAAGCCTGAAAGAGCACCTGAAGGGTGTGCAAAGAGTGCCAGCTTTGCTAATCAATGAGAAGGATAAGAACATGCATGATATCAACTTGGGTAAAGAATAATATTTTTGCTACTATCACAATGTTCTAAAACAATGACATTTCAACAGTGAAGTTCAACAATTAGCTTCCCTGCAACATTTTGCCATATCTCTACATCTCAGTCTGAAAACTGTGCCTTCTTAAGAATGGTTCAATTCGTTCAATCAAAATTGCCATTTTTTTTATTTCAAAAAAATTTCATCAGAAAAGAAAACAAATTCTTTCGCGTTTAATTTGCCAGTTGTTGTTTTTTTGCACATCGTTATGAAATTTTGACCAAATACTTTGTCCCAATATTACTATATGTCTTTCAGTAACTATTCATCATCATTATTTTTTTTTGTCTGTCTTCAATTTTTTCTTTTCAGGTATGTATGAAGTTCTTCCAACAGAGCCACTACATGACATGAAAGAACACATCTGCAATGTGGTATCTGAATTAAAGCACCACCTTTCTCAAGAAGAGAAACAACTATGCGAAAAGACCATCGAGCTGGTAGCACAAACTAAAGAGCAACTTTGAGGTTCTGACTATCGAGAGATGGCTATTGTGCTTTCCAAACAACTGAGAGGTTTGCAACAACTTTATTGTACATGGATATAATATTTTATTCTAATGTAGTCTTTCTCAACACAGCCATCTACTGTTATGAACAGGTACACACATGCATGTAGAGAAGAAAATTATTTTCAAAATAAAATTTACTCTTTTTTCCCTTTTCCTTCTTTAATTTGTACTTTTGTTATCACTTTAATGTAAATATGTAATGAATAGTACTGTTTGTGAAGTTCTTAATGAAGGTTATTTAAAAAAAAAATTCAAAATAAAAAAATTAACAATGTCATGCAGTCATTATTATCATGATTATAATATTATCATCATTTTCAGAGAGCTTGTGACAAATATAACAAACTTTTAGAACAGAAAATACTTACATTAATACAGTGACTTTCCTGATCCTCTCACTGAATAACAAGTTGAAAAGAGAAAAAAATATATTATGAATTGAAAATTCATTAGGCAGTATCAAAAGTAAGTAAAAAAGAAAAATGATTTAATTATATCCATATAAAGTATATAAATAAAAAGGCTATCAAGTAACCCTAGCACCATAATGATGTCTACATAATCATATATTCATTATTCAACAGGATTTGTGAGTGATAAGGTGCAGACCCTTCTTGACACCATGACAGAAATATCAAGCATTCTATATTCAAGGCCAGAGAAGCGCTGTCAAAAAAGCATTTTAAGACTCCACAATCAGACCTTTCTTCATGCCATTGCCTGTGAGGAGGTCATTGGGAGGCCAAATTTGGAAGGAGTGCATAACCAATGAGATTCCCATCCCTCACCCTGCAGTGAGAATCTATGACAATGAAGGCAATTTGCAATTCATAAAATATACAGGGTTTCTAGAAGATGATGATTCCACTGATCATGAGACTAGTGACGAAGAAGTAAATGAAAATGACACCATGTACGAAAATGACATTTCTGACATTCAACAAGATGATGAAGAACTTGAAGACATTCATGATTTCCAGCAAGTGGGAGAATATCTTATGGAGTGTGAACAAGAAGAAAATTTGGACGAGACTTGTCATAACGAAGAAGACTCCTTAACAGAGCAGGAGTTGTTGACACCAAGAATTGAAAGTCTGGCAGGGAAGGAGCTTACCAATTCAACTCCTGCAGTTGTTGCTCAGGCTACGTCTGCTGAATCTTGCCAGCTCAAGACAACACTGGCTAAATCTGTATCAAAGGTGTTAGGTGAAACCAAAGAAGTAAAAACACTAGACTCAATGCGTATCAAGCTCAAGAGCAACCTTACAAGAAAAGAAGACTATGAAGCTGCTTTGGCCATTGTACAGACCAAGGTGCTTGCAAAGCATTCAGTTGTGAAGCAGCAGTTTAAGAAGTGGGAACAGAATTTCTTCTTGGAGCATGAGTGCACTGAGCCAAGTCCTGAGGACATACGCAATGATAGACAAGGGCATGATTTCTACAAGACCTTAAGGCTATGTAAACAGCTTTTACAGCATTGGAACATAACAGTACACATGTAACTTTAAAATAAATGTAAACTTATGTCATATGAGAAAAATTGTCCTACTTATGTAGACTAGCATTTTCCTAGCTCACAAAACATTCTTATTTAGAACACACTTCACTTTTTCAAATTCATGGAAAAAGAATTGGTAGGCAAAATTTTGCTGGTATTAAAATTAGTTTCTTGTTAACAGTTTGTAAATGTAAGTTTTTAAGTACTACAAAAGAAATACTGTTAATGCCACACAGTTCCAAGAAAGGACATTTCGATGCGAAGTAAAGTGGATTTAGACTGACCGGTGGACATCCTTTCGAGACAAAGTAACTGAACAAAGTCGTTTTTCAATACAAGACGTTTCGATACAAGTTCATTCAGTTAAGGTGTAAGGAGTTTCACGTCCTTGGCTTGAAGAACGAATCATTTTCACCAAAAATGTTAATTTCTTGTTCACACGTAAACGTTACTTGAAGCGAACAAAATTTTTGTGCAATTTCACCGCTTGAGTTCGTATTGTAACAACTTGTATCGAAACGGCTTTGTATCTGAACGACCGGTTTTCGAGTTTTGAGTTAAAAATTTTATCACTTTGTAAGTTCATTCTTGATCTTGGAAATATTGAAATCTAGTCTCAATGTACATAGCCTCAATAAATTCACCTAAGACACAAGCAAGGTACCTACATTAATTGTGTATATGAGCTTCAATAAATCTTTTAGATGTAAGCTTAAGACTTAATAACGGTGATTCAGTGCCACATCGAACACCCGCTGCATCGTCAAAATATCAGAATTTTCTATCGAATCCTTAAAACAAGAGAAAAATTGTCTTACCTTTTTTCCATTACTTGTTTTGGGTAGTTGCAGTGACCACAATCTGATCGACAAAACAGTTTCCTCGCACAACATTCACTGTACATGTAAATTTCAAAATGGCGGACGTCCTTCGCGAATTGCGCGACACAGAGAGATGCCGGATTCATTGTCACTATGGAAACTCGCGAGATTCTCGCGAATTCCATTCAATCCGCTGGGGGGCAAAAATCATTTTTGACCCAGGCCATAATCTACCTGAGCTCTCACGTTCTTTTGCGTAAGTTTACTAATATTTGAGGACGGATGACGCGTTCTTTTAGGGGGGTGAACTGGGTAAGACCTTTGAGAAGAGGCCATGGTATTGGGTTAGAGCCTAACATGAAATGTTCTCTTTCCAGCTGATTACGTCACTTTTCCAATGCATGTCGACGGATTTCCCATGGGGCTCTGCGGATCTCAATCTGTTTCTGAACGTAATCAATGGAGCTATCTTACTTCACTGCGAAGATGCCGCCGTGTTGCGTTTATGCCTTGGAGCTTTCGTAAACATTGCTGTTCATTTCAGTAACATCTTTGCCAGCAATGGGTAAGATTGAGTAGCAGTCGATTTATGAAGATATTTGTCAATTGTTGGATAAGGTCGAGAACGATAGTGATAATTATCAATGCTGAGGTTTGTATAATTGACCGAGGCAGATAAAGCAAACCAAAGCCCAGTGAATTTTCGCTACCATGCGAAAAACGTAGTCCAACAATTTTTTTTTTTAATGTTAACCAAGAAGTAAACAACCACTGATACTAAACGGCAAATCTACATTCCTTTAACCTTTTGACAACTTTTCCACGCTGTAACAGTTTCCGGATCAATTTGGTTTTCGAAGAGGCCTCTGGTTTTTAAAAATACTTTTGAAAGATCTTTGAAATGACGAAAATAGTTCCTCCAACTGTTGGCAGCTTCTTGAATGTTTTACGATTATCAGCACATAACGTCACTTTTGCATTCACAAATGCTATTGCTTGCAAAAATGATGTCATTGACGTCACTTGCTGACGTCACTTCTTCATGTATAAAAGCTATTGATTGTAAATAGTTACCCAACGAAAGTAATGTCGATTGGTAATGAGCAGTGCGCCTGTGGCCAATCAAAATTAAGATAGTGTCAGAGGTGCATAATTGTCACGTGTTAAAGTGTGATCTTTCAAATGGGACCTCAGTATTTTTGCAAAACGGAGTTTTTGGTAAATAATGTCCTTGCCACCTTTGGGATTAAATAGCTTCTCAAATAAGGTGCTGCATCCCTTCGGTAACAATGGGGCGCTTCTTCTTTCTTGTTGTTTTTTGACTGGAGATGTCCAAAAATGTTGAGAGCTCATATAACTAACGTTGCTATTAATAAGCGCCGCTGCTCTCTTTCGAGGTGACCAGTATTTACTGTACGCAAATTTATTGGAACGATAGAAAGTGTTATCGTAAGAAAAAGGGACAGCTCTCACGACAAAATTTTGTTTGTCTTTCTGAACCTGGGTAGGGAACCTAGGAATTCAACTCCAAGGGGGCTCGCCTACTTTTGATAAAGTAAATGGGTAGGAATAATCGCGCTAAAACTGGAAGAACGTAAATTCACTTTTTAAATGACGTGTTCACTGCCATCGCGTTAATTGTCGGATCGTAAAGTCCCTATTATGGCCAACGTGGCGTCTGGTGATAACGTTTTGTACACATACTTTAGGCTACGTTTTCGTCATACAGTTGTTTCATATCCCAGCAAACGCCGCGCCCCTGTTTGGTAAGAAATGTTTAAGGAGGAAAAATTAACAGAATATTTTTGCAGGTATCAGTACATCTTTCCCTCCCTGCTCCAAGTCTACTCACATCACGAGACAAACGAAATGGTTACTACGGCAATTGAGGTAAGCTGACGGACGGACGGACAGACGCATTTTCTGTTCAAAGCAAAATGTAATGAAATTGAAAGGACCTCGATCGACTTAGCTTTCTTTAAATGGTTATAAAACATCTTCCCATTTTGTTAACCCACTGCAATCCCGGTCAAGATTAACAGTTTTACGCTACGTGATTGGATAAGAAAAACCACGCCAGTAAGAAACCAGACCAGCTAAACGCGACTTGCTCCTACTCGTTTTTCCGCGTTTTCGACACCGCGTGTTTAGTTAAAAAAATCCTTGCCATCTTTTCAAGGAAGACCTTAGATAACAATGACCTCAACAAGGTTGGCGTCCAGCGGTTTTAGTGAAAACAAGGCTTTGGGTCAAGGGGCGCTCAGTCTCGCGGGCTCATAAAACATAGTCTCGGTTCTCGTTAGTTAAGGATTTTCTCTTTTCAACCAACAAGAAGGTAAACGCAAATTACTTCTGAAAATGTTCTGTTTTTTTTCCCAAATTTTTTGCCCTTACGCTTATTTGTTTTAAGTCATAACTAGTTGATAGTAATGCCCCTTAGGTATCACCGTTTGTGCTCTTTTTGTTGTTATTTGTGGTGTTGCAGGTTTTTTGGTTGAATACGTTTTTGTTTTTGCTTAGTTTCATGACAGCAGATGACAGCAAAATCGCAACCCCCGTAACTTCTTACTTCCTTTTTCCTCTCATTCACAGTTTGCCATGAAGCAGTTCTACATTCTTCATCAAAAGCCTTGTCTTCTGCAGGTAAAAGTTACCTACAACTTCAATGATTTTGTCATCACACATTTCTTTACTCTACTCAGGTCATTAGGAACTTGTTGTCTTATAAGCGTTCTAAGTATCATATAAGGCGCTAAAATAGCAACGGTTGTTGAGTAGAGTTGTGGAAATACTTTGCAAAACTGATGTACACAGTTTAAGCGTCTATCTGTCCACGCGAAGCCCTTATCCAAAAGACACTTCCACAGTTGATAACCATGAAAGAAGGATGTAATTGCTGAAGGAGGGAGTCACTAAATCAAACTGCAATGCGACTTAATAGGCATGAACTGTCAACACAAGACACACGTCTCCGTGCAACACCCAGCATCTTCAACACCGTTATCGCCTTTACGTCACCGTACTTCGAAAGTGTGTAGTCCTCGTTGACTTAAAATGCGCTTGCAGTGTTGAAGATACGATACTGGGTGTCGCGCGAGGAGGTTGGTCTTGTGTTGCTCAAAGAAAGCCTGATGTTTGTTTTTCTGTATTTTTGTAGTTGTTTGCTAGTGTGGCACCGATTCTTCTCGTTGAGACAAGGGCAGATGGAGATGAAGAGGAAGCCGAACTAGAGGATCTTAGTGGCAAGGTAAAAAGCAATCTTAATTATTATCATATACTTGGGTGGAATATGACAGTTATGGAGAGTGCAGTGCAGTATTGGACTGTTGTTGAGATTTACTAACTAGCTCATTTTTTATCTTAATAGATTTCCTTGGGCCTCGGCCAAACGTAGAACTTTTCATGAGACGACCTAGCCTGTGTACAGACCCCTCAGTAGAGGGGGGGAGGGTAGTTTGTACACAGGCTAGAGACGACCCAAACTTTGTGAGTTAAGTTCAAGATAAGTTCGACCTCCGGCTCAGTTAAGTTTATCTGAATGAGTTTCGATTGACCAACACGTTCTATCCGTCAGACAGATAGAACGTCTGAGCATCGTCTCCAGGACATACGTCGTTCTTCACGTGCGATGAACTAAACTGATAAAGTGAAACTTTGTATTTACTGATCTGATTCAGTTGATTGGTTCGACGCGTCACAATACAGGTCGACCCAAATTAGAGTTGGGTTCGTCTCGTGAAAAGTTCGACGTCTGGCGCAGGCCTTAGTCCTTTGGTTCTCCGGAGGTTTGACACCTGTTTGTTAATAACTTATACGTTTATATTTTTTTTTTTTGTCTTATTCATCAGATCCCTTCTAAGTGCCTGTTCTCCTTACTGGCTTCATTGGACAGACCTTCCCCTGACAGTTTAGAAGTGTTAGATCTGGTACGAGCTGAGAAACCGCTGAAACCCATGGTAAGAAAGCTGTTTGACACTTTAAGAACGTTTGCTTTCGTTGTTGTTGCTGTTATTGTTTTTCGAAACCTGTAGGGTTCAATCTCTTGTACAGCATTGTGGATATTTACAACATGTTGACACATGTAGCCGTGCAAGATTGGCGTTTTTTGGTTGCCCATTGCAAATCACTGACAAATCAATACGAAGCGCTAAAGTTGGCTCACTCAAGAAGTGTCAAGCGTTAA